AGCTCCTCCAATCGCTCTACAAAAGCTAGCGGGTCTCGTCCACCGTCATATTTTACTGACCACTTCCTTACCTGGTCGATGATAGGTGCAAACGTGTGGATCGGTGCCTGATTCTCGGGGTTGGCTGTACCTGCGTTCGGCTCGACGGTTGTTGTCGGCGGGTACTGCAAAATTGGTGGCTGATGTGATGGCAGCTGGTGCTGGTGTAGCGGTACCGCCAACTGTCTCTGTGTCGTGTTTTCCATAGGAGTAGTCGTACTCCCCGTACGTTCATCCGGTGGTACTGGCGTCTTCTCCTCCTCGTCTTCCGAGGCAAGCTCGTTGTCTCTGTTGGTGATTCCCATCGCCTGGAATTTGGCATAGATCTCTGGGTCAGTGTGCGCCTTGGCCGCCAGCGCCCTTATGCGCTTGCGTATTTCTCGGGCGGTACCCGCGCACTCGATTCCCAATTCCTGTGCGATGGATACTAGTTGCTCCTTGGGTATATCATCTAGCCATACTGTGTTGATTACTTTCGCCATTTTGTTCGTATCAAACATATAATAATTTTTCCTTTACACGCGTACGATCTACCAAGGGTCCCTGCTCGGGCGCCAATTGTAACGAAGCGTTTTGCTTGCCCCGATGCTTCTTCTAAAATGCTGGGGTATACTCGCCGTGTCCAGGGTTCGTTACAAAGAATTTGTAGTTTCGGGCTCTGGTAGATCGTAATTTATTATTTAATTTTTCTTAATCTCTATAAAAGAACATATAACAAACAATAATTTGGAACATTCGGTAGCGTCACTTGCAAAGACTGGGTAACGGCTCCTTGTCCCGTTATGAGCCCGTTAGGCTTTAGTGGCGTGACTTTGGTACTGGTGGGCAGCGATCTGCTGACGCCGCTGAGTGGCGCGCTGCTGGCGTCTATAAGCGGTGTTCTGGCCGCGTCAGTATGTAGTGCTCTTGCAAGGTGGGTTACGCTCTGGTCTTGCCGGTGAATGGCGTTCTAACAACGCTGATGAGTAGCGCTCTGGTGACGCCGGTGTATAGTGCTCCGGTGACGCCGGTGTGTAGTGCTCCGGAGAGTAGCGTTCCAGTTGCGTCGAGATGTAGCGCTCTCAGCAATGCAGGTGAGGCGTACCGATGAGTGGTACTTTGGTGGCGCCGGGAGTGACGTTTTACTCGCGCCGCTGGGCGGCGTTCTGGCGACGGTGATAAGTGGCGCTCTATTCGCGCCGGAGAGTATCGCGCTAATGACGCCGTTGATGCCGCTCTGCTGACGGCGGTGAGAACCGGTCTTGTAAGCGCTGTCGACATCCCTCTGTTAACGGCGGAGCTGACTGCGGGCGAGCGGGTGTCGCCCGCACGCGGTGCCAGGAGAGGCTGTGGTGAGAGCGTGTGTAGCTTGTGGCGCTGCCACTGGGAAGGTGACGTCCAGCCCGACACTAAAGCCGATGCAGAAGAAATCACCTTACCAGCAGCTGTTGCAGAAGTGGAATCAAGCCCGACACTCGAGCCGGTGCAGATGAAGTCACTTCTTGCCAGTAGCCGTATGTTCACGACCACAGTCTCGTGCTGACTGACTGGTTTCTTGTCGTGCTACTCTTTTAATAGGCTATGTGCTTGATGTTGCGTGGTCGCGCAGCTACATGTTGCTGTGTGATGTTGTGTTGTCATGTCGAGTGTTGCTACGACTTGTGTTGCCGTGGTTTGCTGCGGGCCAGTTGCGCTGACTTGTGTTGCTGTGGTGTGACTGGTTTGGTTGGTTTGGTTGGTAGTGCGGGAGTTTGTGTGGGCTAAATTCTCTGGGGACATTTAGTCCTCACACTCCCCCCCTACTTGGCGGTCTGGAACTCCCCTGGCTCTTGGGTGGATGTGCGCGCCCCAGTGGTGTACGGTTACCCGGTAGTCTTTCGTGCTGAACCTCAGCCGGGGTTTGCATGCGCGTGAGGTGATAACTCTGAGGCTCCGACGGATTCTGTCCGCTATTGTCGGGAACTGGTCTAATGCCGGTCCCTCTGCGTCGGTGATGAGGATTCTTATTCCCTCTGGTGGCACTGTCGGCTGTTCCTCCATTCGGGATACGGGCTGCTGAGGGGATAGGGATGACCTGGTTAGTGTTTGTGCTGGTGTAGTCGATGGATGGTGGATTGGTAGTGGAGCGTGCGACGGTGAAGCGATCATAGTGGTTGATTCGGCCGGTGATGGCGGCAGT